GGCCCAGGATCGAGCATTGTTTCGTTCTGCTGTGCATGGGGTCGCTATGAGTCGGTTCCGACTCGATGGCACCTGACAACAACAACAACAATGCTATACCCACCTTAGAAATGCTCAGCAGGTTGGGGAGCTAGGAGAGGAAAATAGTGGAAATTGTTGAGGCACAGAGGATCTTCATCGATCTAGATCTCTACTGGACCCTACAGGACAAGGCAGCCCCTGCCCAGGTACTAACCCAGGAATGTTAATTAGCTTTAATACTACTGCTACTAGTAGGTCACCCTGACTCAGTCTGTGGCAGGCATTTGCTATGTGCCATATTGGAGGCCTGGTATGACACCATAGGATAAGCACTGGACTACTAACCACAAGGTCAGCGGTTCAGGTCCACCAACCTCTCCTCAGAAACCCTATCCAGGATCACAGTGAGTCAGAACCAATTTGACGGCACTTAACGACAGCATATTCAGATCCACATTTATTCCTTATAATAACCCTACAACCTAAGTTTTACTAATATTTCCATTTTGCAGATGAAGAAACCAAAGCGCAGAGACATTAAATTCCGTAGTGTATTCAACTAGAAAGTTGTGGAGCAAATAGTCCATGAAGCTGGACTATATGAAAAAGAATACAGTGTCAGGATTGGAGGAAAACTCATTAACAACCTGTGATATGTAGATGACACAACCTTGCTTTTTGAAAGCAAAGAGGACTCACAGCATTTACTAATGAAGATCAAAAACTATAGTCTTCAGTATGGATTACACTCCAACATAAAACAAAAATCCTCACGACAGGACCAATAAACAACATCATGATAAATGGAGAAAAGATTGAAGTTATCAAGGATTTCATTTTATTTGCATCCACAGTCAATGTCTATGGAAGCAGCAGCCAAGAAATCAAGCAATATATTACATCGGGTAAATCTGCTGCAAAAGACCTTAGTAAAGTTTTAAAAATCAAAGATGTCACTTTGAGGACTGAAGTGTGTCTGAGTCAAGCCATGGTATTTTCATTCACTTCATATGCATGTAACAGATGGACAATGAATAAGGAAAACTAGAGAAGAATTGATACATTTGGAATATGGTGTTGGCAGATAATATTAAATATATCATGACCTATATGATGAAGATCAAAGACCACAGCTTTCGGTATGGATTACATCTCAATGTAAAGAAAACAAAAATCCTCACCACTGGATCAATAAACAACATTCTTATCAACAGAGAAAAGACTGAAGTTTTCAAGGACTTTGTTCTTCTTGGATCAACTGTCAACACTCATGGAAACAGCAGTCAAGAAATAAAACGACGTATTGCATTAGGTAAATTAGCTGCACAAGACCTTTTTAAAATATTGAAGAATAAAGCTGTCAGCTTGCGGACTAAGGTGCGCCTGACCCAGGCCATGGTATTTTTAATAACCTCATATGCATGTGAAAGCTGGACAGTAAATAAGGAAGACCATAGAAGAACTGATGCTTTTGAGTTATGGTGTTAGAGGAGAATATTGAAAGTGCCATGGGCTGCAAAAGAACAAACGATCCATGTTGGAAGAAGTGCAGCCAGAGTGCTCCTTGGAGACCAGAATGGCCAAACTTCGTCTCTCATACTTTGGACATATTGTCAGAAGGGACCAGTCACTGGAGAAGGATATCATGTTTGGTAGGGTGGAGTGTCAGAGAAAAAGAAGAAGACCCCCAACAAGATGGATTGGCCAGGTGGCAGCATCTATGGACTCTAGCGTGGCAACAATAGTGAGGTTGGCCCAGGATTAGGCAGTGTTTCATTGTGCTGTGCAAGGTCGCTGTGAGTCGGTACCAAACCGATAGTACCTAACAACAACAGCAATAATGTGATAGGTTTTGTGTCAACTTGACTGGGCCATGGTTATTCCCTTGGTGAAATCTAATACAGTGTAGTTAACGCTATGATGATTGATTATGAATTGAAATCAATTGAAAAGATGTTTCCTCAGGGATGTGGTCTGCTTCCAACATAATGTACACTCAGGCAATGCTTGCTTGCTTTTTGCTGGGTCTGAATCTTGCATCGATTGATTCAACTTCCAATCTCTGGTTTTTTGTACTTGAGCTTGTGATCTGCTATATTATCTGCCTGCCTGCTGACCTTGGTTCATCTGACCTGGACTTGGGACTCTCCCAACTCTACAACTGTGAGCCATTTCCTTGATATAAACTACTCTTTATACATATATAAGTTTTATGGTTTTGCTTCCCTAGACAAACTGCCAGAAGAATGAACAAATCTGTCTCAGAAGTGTAGCCAGAGTGTTCCTTAGAAGGATGATGAGATTTAATTTCTCCTACTTTGGTCATGTGGTCAGGAGGGATCAGTTCCTGGAGAGGGACATCATACTATATAAGATAGAAGGTTATCAAGAAAGAGGAAGACCCTCAGTGAGATGGATTGATGCAGTGGCTGCAGCAATGGATTCAGTCACAGCAAGGATTGTGAGGATGGCGCAGGACCAGGTAGTGTTTGATCTCTGGTACATGGGTCAATATAAGTTAGAACCAATCCAACAGCACCCAATAACAACAACAGTGGCTTCTTTGCTCCCAACCTTGGAGTCTTAGGGACACCCCAGAAGGACCAGATGTTCAGCCATGCCATGAGCAAATCTCCAGCCTCAGTGCGAGCTGTGTTCTGAGGCAAAGGGGACACAGAAATTGTGGGCATAGACTGAAGTTGTCCTGACTGTCTTGGGCAACTCACTTAACTCCTTTCAGTTTTGGGTTCCTCACCATCACAGGGCTGATGTGGAATTAAGGGAGATAATGTGGGTAAAGGTCATGGCTGGCACATGGCACAGAGAAAGTGTCCAGCGAAGAGTAGCTGTTGACGTGACTGCTCTCACCCAGTCCAGAGAATGAAGTCCGGCTCCGGCAGGATCTGCTTCATGGCATAGATGGATGAATTGATGAGGGCCCAGGGAGAGTCGCATAGGTAATTGCCCCATGGGCCTGCATTGGGCACAGGTTGGGAGCCAGCTGATGGGCACACCTGGAGAGGGTCTTTGGATTCCTTATAGTCAGGGTCGAGGTGCAAATCAGAGATGTGCCAGAACTTTCCTGCAGAGGAAAAGAGGTCCTGCCTCGGTTCAGGTGCCTCTCTGAGCCTGGCTAGGGAACCTGAGCAGTAGGGGAATGGTTCACAGACAGGAAGAAACCTCCTCTGGGCACCCAGGACCAGTTGACGAAGGGCCCATGTGTGAGGCTTCTCCCAGGGAGGCACTGAGCAAAACAGAAGGAGCACACACTCAGCTCCTTCCCTGACCTGTTCTGTGACCTCTGGAGAGGCCCTCTCCCTCTGTGCATCACATCAGCAGCCTGAGCTCTATGTGATTCTTTAGGACCCTTTAGAGTCCAGCATTCTAAGCAGAGTGCTTGTTTTAAAGCAATAGAGCATGGGATGGAAGTGAAGAGTTCAGGCCCTGGAGTCACATACTAGCTATGTGACCTTGGGCAAGTTAATATACTTCCCTGAGCCCATAACTAAAGCCAGATCCTATCATGTCCCAGGGAAAGAAATACAAAAATTTAGCATGAGAGAAGGTGACTTACATACCAAATGAGTTACAAGGTCTTGTTAGTGAATAACTACAAAAAATGATGATGTGTGTAGAAATGGTATGAAGAAAATGATATGAAGAATAAACATACTGTCAGAAGGGGCTAAATTTTTCATATGGGTGTTCTGGCTAGTGATTCTGTATTCAAGTGGCAGCCCAAGCATCTAGGAATGGCCCTGTTTGCTAGAGTAATTGACCCAAACCTGGATTCCACTCCAAGTCAAGTGAGGTTCAATCCCTCTTGGATGTAACACAGAAAAATGAATCCAAAGAAACAGGTGAGATGGAGTGGATCTATCATATGTACTCAGCACAAGTAGTTTCACTGCTTACTGAAGGAGAGTTGAATAGATTTGATCTGATCGCTGCCCCAAACCCTATGTTTCTGGATCAGACAAAGGTGAGGTTAACACTTGGGAGTTTCCTCACCCGTCACTACTGCTGTCACTTCCTTCTCCCTTTCCTGTGTCAGAGCCAATAGCAACCCCACTCTCCCCAGGAAGCTGGACCTGGGTCAGATGGTTGGGCTTCCTCTTGAGTTCTAAGTTTGGATTGATTGCCAGGGCCTCACCCAAGCCCTAGGAGGCTCAGCTCTAGGATAGGCCCACTGGTGCTCTTAAGCATTAGCCCACTTCTGATCTAAGCCTGGTTTCAGGAAAACATCTGAAATGTGTTCACAGAAGGTACAAATGACTAATGAAGCCAGTCATTCTCTCTCCCATGTGCACTTCAAAGTTAGCCTCGCCACAGTCCTGAGAGGTATTTATTAATCGAGCCAGGCTGCTAACGTCAAGGACAGCAGTTTGAAACTACCAGCCATTCTGCAGGAGAAAGATGAGACTTTCTGCTTCCTTAAAGATTTACAGCCTCAGAAACTCTATATAAGATTGCTATGAGTCAGAACCAACTCCATGCACACCACCACCACCACCACCATGCCCATTTTACAGATAAGGAAACTGGAAGTTCAGAGGTCAACATTCCTGGTACATGGGTGGAGAGCCTCTGGCTGTAGATCCTCTCCAAGGAGATGTGATTTCTAAGGGAGTAAAAACCAGTGTCTATATTTAGCACAGTGGCTCCATATGATAAGCACTGGACTGTGAGCTCCACAGTCTGCGGTCCGAGCCCATCAGTCACTCTGCCAGAGAAAGATGAGGCTTTCTGCTCCTGCAAAGATTTAAAGTCTCAGAAAGCCTATACAGGGTTGCTGTGAGTCGGAGCCAACTCGACAGCACTTAACAACAATAACATGTACTTTGGTCATGTCATCAGGAGAAGAAGAGCATCATGCTTGGTAAAGTAGAGGCTCAGCTAAAAAGAGGAAGATCGTGAGGAGATGGGTTGACACAGAGACTGTAACAGTGGGCTCAAACATAACAATCGATGATTGTGAGGATGGAGTGCGATCCCGGGCAGGACTATTAGTCAGAACTGACTATATGTCACCTAACAACAACAGACAGAATATGCCTGCATTAAAATTTTTACCTAAATTAAGAGCATTTGACCATAAAGGAGAAATTTAACATACTCACATGTATTATTATCATGAATATATTTGAAAAAAATGAATAGTATGTCTATAAAGGGACACAATCTTAGGCCAGTATAAATAGCTCTAACTGCCCTAATTCAGTTAGAAAATAGTCCGTGTGGGACTTTCCCAACAAACTGGGGTATCACACCTGCCTGGGAGCTTAAGGCCATGTGGGAAGTCTAAGGCCAGTGACAGCCCTTTTCTCTGGGCATGTGGTTCCCTCTCTTCCTCTGAAGATCATGGTGGAGACTGCTCCCCCTGCCTCAAGAAGGTGTCTTCTCAGTTAATCACAAATCAAGCGATTCAGCCCCTTTTCTCTACTTCAGAAACTCTTCATCTGATGGTGGAGACTCAGATGTCAGTAGTCAGCTTGTTTCTTCCTAGAAGATCAACTTGGAGCTCACATCTAGCAGTGGGTAGGGCTAACGCCCTTCCAGCTCTCACTTCCTGGTGGCACACGCACATTCATGTGTGTGTGGTGGGAGGGGTGGTCCTGCAGGCCTAACACCATCCAGGAGAGGCCAGGATTGTGGAAAGCACAGAATATGAACAGAGGGTCAGGCAGGTGACCCCACTTCCTTTATCATTCTCCTTATTGCCATTCCACCCTCACCCTGTTCCAGTCATAGTTCACTCTCCCCACAGGGACGCTAACATTGTTACACAGTTTCTCTTGTGACTATTTCCTTCTAATTCAAAGGTCAATCCAAGCATAGTTCAGAGAAACATTCTCTATAGACTTTGCTCAAGTAGCATGTCCCCCACCAATCTGCCCATCTGTTCACTAGTTATCACCTTCCTGTTTTATTGTCTCCAGAGCACTATTACATAGGAAGTTATCTTGTTTGCTTGCTTGCATACTTGTCATCCATCTTCCATGTCTAGAATGTCTGTACCAGCAGAGCATCAAGTCTGCCTTGTCTATCTTTGTTTCCTTAGCACCCAGAACACAGCCTGGGATGTGGAAGATGCACAAATATTCTTTAAATGAATGAACAAAGCTGTGGGGAGGATAATTCGAATATTAAGCACCTAAATGTTAGCTAGGCGAGAGCCCTGGTTTTCCTCATGTCATCTTTTCTTAGCCATTCTCTGAGGTGGAGAGTCTTATGTTCATTTTATAGGGATCTGAGACTTACAGGTAGTTGAATTCCACAGTTGGGGCACAGTGTGGGCATTGTGTTGAAGCCTCAGAAAGTGGCCATGACAGTTACCGTATATGTATGTTACCCACAGAAGAATGGGAGTCACAGGTTTCTGTGGAATTGATCACAGGTGTCTAGAGAACCTAAGGCCTTTACTGAGGGCTCCCTGCCTCACGCTCAAGAAACTAAGTTCTAAATAGCATGTCATGGAGAAGGCGTGGACAGAGGATCTGAATGGGGGAAATGCAGGATATTTGTTTTGTAATCTACACTCTTTCACTTGTTGGCCAAGGAGCATTAGGCAAGTCACTTGGCCTTGCTTAACCTGAGAGTGTTTGACATCTGAACTGCCTCTTCTTGAGCATCTAATAAGTTACTGAATGAGAAAGGACTTACAAAAAAAATCCAGATACCAGACTGTTACCAGAAATTATTCCTGGGACAAATAATGAGTCTGGGAAGGTGTGGAGTAGGGGCACTTTAACACTTTGCCCTTTAGACTGTGCAGACACACCTCATTTAGGGATCTTGTGAAAATGAAGTCTGACTAAGTCTAGAGTGAGTGGAGCCCAAGAATCTGCATTTCTAACAGGCTCCCATTGTGTACCTACATTGCTGGTCCATATACCAAACCTTGAAAATCAAGATTTTATACACTTGGATTGCTTGACTCTTTTACAGTAAGTATTCATGTATTGAGTCTTTTAATAAGTTATATTAAGGACTTCCAGCAAGATGGTAGGCTAGGTAGACATATTACATGGACACTTTACAACTATATGAGAGACAAAACAGAAACAGATTAAAATTTTGGCACCCTGTACTTCAGAAGAAAGGTTAGAGAGGTGTATGGAGTGCTTGCTGGGAGGAGAGGCTGAGCATGAGCAGGGAGGCGAGAGAGGGAGACAGATGTCCAGACTCGCCTAGATCATTTTGTGAACCTCTTTGGCAGGAAAAGGAGGCCTGGTAGAGCAGATTCAAGTAGGTGAAAGAAAAGGCTTGATTTCTTCTTTTCCCTCACATTCCCCTGATAGCCAGAAATGTGACCAGCTCCCATCCTCATCCACCCCCAGTGCAGACCTTGTTGTGAAGTTCAGAGGCACGTGGTCAGGAGCCACACCAGTGTGAGGTAGGGGCTGGCTATGCCACTTTGGTGTGCTGCTTTGGTGTCTGGATTGAGGTGGGCATGACTCCGGACTTACAAAACCCACAGAACCACCAGACCAGCATTTAACCAGTCATCCTGCAGTTTGAATCACAAGGTCAGCAGTTCAAACTCACCAGCCACTCCTCAGAAAGCCTATACAGGGTCGCTATGAGTCAGAACCAACAATAACCTGCCCATGGCTTCCCTGTGGTTCTAACAGATATGTTGACTATTGTACATGGAGAGGATTACCACCATGTAATGAAGCAAAGTATATAATTTGTTGAATGTAAAACTGATGATGTGCTCTATAAACCTTCATTCAATTCACAATAAATAGTTAAAAAAAAAAAAAAGGTATGCCAATTGATGGTGCCTGGCTAACACTGCTCTGTAAAGGATCACATTAGAAGGTCCTGGATAGAGGGGGGGAAATGTGAAACAAAACAAAAAGTCATAAAAAATGACCAGTTTATTGGTTGGACAAAAACTAGTGGAGCCCCTGAGACTGGCCTTTAGCCACACTTAGGGTCTGGCAATGAGCCTACCTCATGGCCAAACAATAGGCAGGTCTATAAAGGGAACAATAACACTCCTTAAAATAATCAACCATTTGAGATCAAAAGGGCAGCATTTACCCAAGAACAAAGTTCAGAAAGAAGAAATGAAAACAGAAACCACAGGGAGGAACTGGGATAAGTGATATTACATTATGGGGATTATAATCAATAACACGAAACAAAATGTGTATGAATTGTTGAATGGAAAATTGATTTGCTCTATAAACCTTCACCCAATTCACAACTAAAAAGTTAAAAAATAAAGAGAATAGAAAGGTATACCATTCTCGGCTGTCATTGGTAGTGGTGGTGGTGGTTATGTGCCGTGGAGTCGGTTCTGACTCATAGCGACCCTGTACAGGGTTTCCGTAAATCTTTACTACGGGAGCAGAACGCCTCATCTTTCTGCAGTGGAGTGGCTGGTGGGCTCAAACCATGGACGTTGTGGTTCACTAGTCAGTGGTTATCATATGGAGTTACCCTACTCCCCAGGAGCACATTAGAAGGTTCAAAAGGTAGGCATATGTAAGCTGGGACTGCAAAAATGTCTTTGCAGTAGAACTAATTACAGGGATATTTTTATAAAAAATAATAACGTTTTGCTGAAACACTGTACAAGAACTTTATAGGCAGTCATTCTGGCATCACCCCTCTTAAGTGTCACCTGGCATGATCTGCACCCCCCACGCGTCTTTGTAACCCCATTGCTTTTAAACACACCTAAGTTATGATTCTCCCTAACACTTAGCACCTCCTCGTATGCTATATTTTACTTGTTGGGGTTTTTTGTTTGTTTGTTTCTCCCCAATTGAAGGAATACTTCTTTTGGACTGGGACTTTGTTTTTCTCTCTGTTGTATTCCTAGTGTATGACATCTAGAAGGCCCTCAACCATATCTGTTTAATCTTTCCTGTGACCTTCTACTGCTGCCAGCTGGCTTTTTGTACCTAGACCTCAGAGCAAAATCAGCGTTCCTCTTCTGGCTAGCTGTCACCACACTTAGATTTTTCAGGCCAGCCCCTACTGACTCCCGGCCCTAGTTCCCTGCCTCACAATTGTGAACAGCACTTTCCGCTTTGAAATATGCAGCTTCCTGCATTCCCATCACAGAACAAAACAAAGACATCATAGATATTCCCCATAGAGCCATACCTGGTTCAACCCTGGCAACATCCCAGTGGGCCAGGAAAATCAGCAACCTTAACAGCCTCATCCTCAGGGCTCACCTCCACGGGAGTCTCCAAGAGCTATTGTTCACGCTGCAAAGTTCCTAAATTGCCTGAGCAAAACTTTCCTTCCAAATTATCCAGGGCACCTGGTTCCTCTGGAATTTCCCCCTTTGCCCAGCAGAGTGTGAGCTGAGTTTGCTAGTAAGTGCAGTAGGCAGGTCTTTGGACTTCTAAGTGGAATGCAGCACCTGTTTTGCCAGTTCTTCTGAGCATGTCAGTTCTTGCCAGGAGCTGTAAACCAGGAAACGCACCCAATGGCAGTCACTGAGAGGCCAATACCATCTACTTTCAAAGTTCTTACAGTGCCCCACCCCAACAGAACAAACCAATAAAATGATTGGCTTTTCCCATTAAATGAATTTAACTGCTAGTTAGAGATCAAGATGCTCAAAAATAAATGAACCAGAGCATAAGAATCATTCATTCATTCATTCATTCCTGGAACTGGTCCTATGGAGAAGGTGGGGACCTAGGGCAGTCCCTACCCTCAAGGGACTTTGGCAAAGGGAGAGGTAAGACACTATTTTTTTTTTTTAATGAGTTTTTATTGTGAATTGAGTAATAGTTTACATGGGAAAACATCAGTTTTACACTCATCATTTCATTGCAATGATTACAATATCCTCCGTGCATCATCATTCAACAGTATTTGCTTCTATTCCGTCTGTTTATTTGTTGTTGTTGTTGTTGTTGTTTTGTAGGGGTTGGGGAGATGTACACCAAAACATTCAGGAATATATAATAATTTAATTTAACAGCCAAAGGGCACATTCTGCAAACCTGCCTCCTGGTCGCCAGCACTCAATCTTTCTCTTTCCATGAGTCTAGAGTACTCAGCTGCTCTCTCTCTCCATGTCCTCATCTCTGTCTCCAACTCTAGTGTCTCTGCTTCTCTGGATAGGTTCCTGCATTCCACTCCTGCTGTTCTCCCTTGATGGTACTAGGATCCTCTGTTTCTTAACTGTAAGATTAACTACTCCCCTGTTTTGGTTACAAAACTCATACCTTTACAGTTGTGACAGTCGCAATTAGTCATGATAACAGTAACTCACTATTGAATCATAAGAATCTTATCCCTATCTCTTTTCAGCAGACGCGTCTAGACAAGATGAAAACTATTCAATGGGGACTCTACCTTCCCCTGCACACTTTAAAACTAAACTCACTCTTGAAACCTTGTAAGCCAGGCATCAAGTTGGTAGCAACTCATAGCGACCTTATGCACAACAGAACCAAACACTGTCCAGTCCTGGGGCAACCTTACTATTTTTGCCTTGCTTGAGCCCACTGATGCTGCCACTTTACCAATCCATCTCGCTAGGGGTCTTCCTCTTTTTCTCTGACCCTCCACCTTACCAAACATGATATCCTTCTCCAGCGACTGGTCCCTCCTGTCAATATGTCCAGAGTATGAGAGATGAAGTTTGGCCATCCTGGCCTCCAAGGAACACTCTGGCTGCACTTCTTCCAACACGGATCTGTTTGTTCTTTTGGCAGCCCATGGCACTTTCAATATTCTCCTCCAACACCATAACTCAAAAGCATCAATTCTTCTACGGTCTTCCTTATTCACTGTCCAGCTTTCACATGAATATGAGGTTATTGAAAATACCATGGCTTGAGTCAGGCACACATTAGTCCTCAAGCTGACATCTTTGCCCTTCAACACTTTAAAAAGGTCTTGTGCAGAAGATTTGCCTAATGCAATATGTCGTTTGATTTTTTTGACTGCTGCTTCCATGAGTGTTGATAGTTGATCCAAAAAGAATGAAGTTCTTGACAACTTCAATCTTTTCTCCGTTGATAAGAATGCTCTTTATTGGTCAAGTGGTGGGGATTTTTGTTTTCTTTACATTGAGATGTCATCCATACTGAAGGCTGTGCTCTTTGATTCTCATCTAAGTAAGTCCTCTTCACTTTCAGCAAGCAAGGTTGTATCATCTGCATATTGTAGGTTGTTAATGAGTCTTCACCCAATCCTGATGCCATGTTTTTCTTCATATAATCCAGTTTCTTGGGTTATTTGCTTAGCATATAGATTGAATAAATGTGGTGAAAGAATACAACCTTGTTGCACACCTTTCCTACTTTTAAACCATTCAGTGTTTCCATGTTCTGTTTGAACAACTGCCTCTTGGTCCAGGTACAGATTCCTCTTGAGCACAATTAAGTGTTCAGGAATACTCATATTTTGTAATGTTGTCCATAGCTTGTCATGATCCACACAATCGAAAGCCTTTGCATAGTCAGTAAAGCACAGGTAAACATCTTTCTGGTATTCTCTGCTGTCAGCCAAGATCCGCTGGACATCAGCAATGATATCCCTTGTTCCACATTGTCTTCTGAATCCAGCTTGAACCTCTGGAATTTCTCTGTCAATGTTCGCTTGTAGCCGTTTCTGTATTACCTTTAGTAAAACTTTACTCTCATGGGATATCAAAGATATTGTCCAATGATTTCCACATTCCATTGGGTCACCTCTCTTTGGAATGGGCACAAATATGGGCTCTCTTCCAACCTGGAGCACTTCTGTTCCACCACTCGTCTGTCAGATTCATTTTAGGTAGCCAATGTCTAAGTTGCTCGTCCCTATCAACCCTATATGTAGACCCCTCTTTAGGACTGATACTTGATGTGAAGACTCCTTTCCTCTCAGTTGGTATTTTGAGATACAACATCCATTAGTATAGGTCAAGTTCATCAAATTGTAGCAAATTACACTTGTTTCCTTCATCAAAAATTGTTTTTTATCTTCCTCTAGTCGAGTTCTGATCATCAAGCCATCAAGGCTAGGTCGAATGGGTGCTATCTGCAAGTTTGGGCATACTTGTGCATCTCCCTCGCTTCATTTCAGCTGGTTGCTTCACTCTCAGCTCAAGCCCTTCGTGGCTATGTCCTTGTCCATGGGCTCAGGAGTGATCGGGTCTCACCACACTTCAAACCAATCAGCCCTTCTTCTCTCTTTCATCTCCAGACTGACAGAAGTCTATGGAACGTGGTTGAACTCAGCCCATGTCTTCATTGCTGCCTTTCTACCTCTTCCAATCACCAGTAGACCAATGTGGTTGCCAGCAAGCTTACATGCCTGCTCATCTGTTCCCTTTGAGTTTCAGTCTTAGAGGAGGGTTTGTCCTGAAGGGATTTGATTGCTTGCCTTGATGGCTCCCCAGCAAACAAATTGTTTTTTGTTTTTTTTTTAATTGTTGTGTGAGCAGGACTCCTTGTCATATGAATAACATTTATAGATTTCACTAGTTAGAATGCATTTTTAAAAAAATTTTTTTAAGGTTTTTATTGTGAATTGAGTGAAAGGTTACAGGGCATATCATCAGGGTTTTTTTTTTGTTTTTTGTTTTTCTTAAATGATTTATTGTGAATTATGTGATAGTATACATGGGAGAACGTTAGTTTTACATTCATTCTATCGTATATCATCTCATTGCCATGGTTACAGTCCCCTCCATGCAATCCTTCCCCCGTGCCCCCCAGGTCTTCAGCACACAGTCGCTCTCCCTCTCTGGGTCTAGAGTCAAATTGCTTGTTTTTGTAGTAGCCAAGTAGACTGCCATTTTTGTTTTGGATTTTTCCTGCTGATCTTTGTTTCAAGAAGTATCTTCTTTTGCTCTAGCTGTTCCAGGCTGGTCTGCTTGTCCTTTCTAGTGGAAATGTCCCACCTCAGAAGGTTCTGGATGGGGCTCAGGATTCCACCTAAGGTCCTATACTCTGCAAAGGCTCCACAAGAGGCCTATTTCACTGGACAAGTTCTAGAACCCCTTTTAGGTATTCCAATCAGTTATAGGCTCAAGACGGGCTTACAAGCTTTCTGTAGTCATGGTTCCCAGAGCCACTAATTTTTTAATTGAACTGAAAAACCCAAAGAGGATATAACTCAAACTGAGAGGTCTAACCAGACTGGGGAAATCTGGAGGGCCTCCTGGGAAGAGGTGGCACAGACTTAATCTTTTCTTAACATTTTATTATTGAAATTGTCAAGCATATACAGAAGTAGAGAAAATAATGTAATGAATTCTTAAGTGCTCACCCTCTAGCTTCAGTAATCATGAATTTATGGTCATCTTATTAGATTTATGTTGTGGTTAAGTGCTATCAGCACCACACCAGGACTAATCCTATTGGGGTATTTTAAAACAAATTACAGACATCATATCATTTTTTTGTCCATAAATATATCTCTAAAGGATATAGAAACCCTATGTCCAACAGAATGAACCACTGACCACTGCGTGGTCCTATGCCATTCTCACAGTCTGCGCTTGAGTTCACTGTTGCAGCCAGTGTCCGTCTATCTCCTTGAAAGTCTTACTCTTTTTCACTGACCCTCTACTTTGTTGTTGTTGATTTCGTCGTTAAGTGCTGTCGAGTCGGTTCTGACCCTTAGCAACCCTGTATAGGGTTTCCAAGGAATGGGTGATGAGCTTAAACTGCCAACCTTACAGTTCAAACCGACTTTGCGGTCCAGCACATTAACCCACAGCACCACACCAGAACACCATAGAAAACAATGGGGGCAACAATTGCCAACCAAGAATCATATACCCTCAAATACCATGGTGAAATTAGGACATTTCCTGATAAACAGATATTAAAGGAATTTTTAATGACCAGACCAACTTTACAGAAACTACTAGAGGGTAGTGTTCTTTGGACTGAGAATCAATAACAGCAGACAAACATCTGAAATTATGATCCATGACAACACTGCCCAGAATTCAATCCAAATATAGAAGTCTTTAAAGTAAAACAAGCCTACAAGACTGAAAACAGGAAACCAAAGATTTCAGTGTATAATGAAGTCAACTACAAATCAAAAAGAGGGACTAGCGTAGATACAGAACTTCCAAATGACAAGAAATTAAGCAGATTTCAAGATAAAAAAAAAAGACTGTTTTAAGCATGGAAAGCATTAATAAATTACAGGGTAACCCCTAAGAATAATTATAATTATATAGTACATAAATTATCA